CTACCCCAGTTTCCACAGAAAGTCCCAGAGGACCAAGGGTTTCTGGGGCCTTCTGAAGCACGCGTGTGAAGGAGACAACGCGCCCAGCTCTCAGAATCTGATGGCTTCAGAATGGCTGATCACCACGGAGAGCGCAGGAGGCTCCGCTTCCAGGGAGAGGCTACACTGCTGACCACGGAATGCTGTGAGGACAGAGCCCGTGCTCTCCGCAGAGGGCCGGCCTTGCTTCTCTTCCAGCACACAAAGCACTGGGCCTCCCCGCATCTCATCTGGATCCCAGACTCTTTTCCAGCAACTGAAGAGAAACTGCCCTCTTGGGTGCTGGTAGCTGAGAAGTTCAAAGCCAAATTTGGAGTCATTTTCAGCAGTTACATGTGACTCTGGACTTACCTCATTTTCTTTTGCCCCACTTTTTTCTGGTATCTATTTAATATTCTGGTATTACATATGCTGTGTAAGCCAACTCCAATCCTTTCTAAGGGAAGCAGGGCAAATGAATGAAACGGTCCTCATCTCCAGTAACTGTGTGGTGAACCACTGTCGATGGCGTATGAACAGAGCAGCCCTGCATGTGCAGTTGCTGGCAACATGCAACGCCAGCCGGAGGAAGCGCTGAAATTTCCCTGGGAGCAGGCCTGAACCACACCACAGTGCGAATGGAAGGTGTCGCTGAGATAGGGGTCCGTCAGGACAACACAGGACCACAGGTGGCTGCACTCATCCCATGCACCACACACCACTGCCCACTTCAGTTGTGGGACTTCAGGTTGGTCCTAATCCACCAGAGGGAATCAAAGGACAATGAGGACTGCCATTCTCCATCTTCCTTTTCTTTTCTTTGTCCAAGAGAGCAAATGCTGGCAGTTGATGTCCCACCCAGAAGTCCAAGGAACCCAGCAATATATGACCCAGCCACACTTGCAGCAAGGTGAGTGCCACTCCGGCTCCGGACACTGGCTTGGTAGGCTCAGCAAAGGGACCAGGAAGGTGAGCCAGGCACTTCTTGCTTCTCTCATCGGCCCCTCCACGGAGGCACAGAGGTGGGGAGAGGGCGTCTATGTCAGAAGGCAGCAGTAATCTCTACGTTCCAGGCTTCCGCCTTGACTCACAAGGGAGAACTCTCCCCAGCCCTGTGTGGTGCCTCTGATGTGGGTTCCTGCTGCCCCAAGAACATTTATAATTTATCCACAGCCTGCTGAGCGTCCCGACTGGCCCTGCAGAATGTGAGAGGGTGGACAGAGCTGAGGGTGGGGGAACAGGTGAGCTGTTTACCCCCAACTCCATCCAAACTGATTGCCTTGTCTGTGGTCTTGGGCAGAACTCAACCCCTCAGCCTGAGAAGCCTCCTCTGGACCCCACAGCCTCACTTGCACATAGCAGTCCTGACCACTTACCAGGATCAAGTGAGGCAACCAAGAAACACAAGGTGAACCGAAGAGCCAGCCTCGATGGGGAGGCAGCCAGTGCACCAGGAACAACAAGGCCAGGATGCGTGCCTGAGTGTGTGCCTGGGGAGGCCGGCAGGCAGAGGGCATCTTCAGCCATGAACTCTAAGACCTAGATTTTGCAGTTTCTCCACTTCTCCAACCACTGGTCTGTAGAGATTTGAACACATCTAGAACGTGACTCTGCCTCTGCTCCACCCTGGCTCTACTCACAGCCACCCTCCTCCCAGTTGCTGAGGTGGTTGTTGTCAGAGCTGTCCTGAACTCTTCTCCCCCTGGTCCAGTCCCTGAGCAAGTCCTACTGCTCTCCTTTATCACACACCCAGGTCTCCACAGCCCCTCCAATCCAGGCATGTCACCTTCCACCCGCAGAAGGGCAGCGGTCTCCTGGCTGGTCTCCCTGGGCCCACTGTATTGCACACATAACCAGAGGCTTCTCCTAAGCCTTCTCATCCCTACATCGGATCAAGGCACTCCTCAGTTCCAAACCCACCCCTGCCTCCCAGCTCACTGAGTAAAAGCCAAAGGGTTTACAACGTGACCCAAAGGCCCTACACCAGACTACTTAGCATATGGCATACAACGAGATAATACAGTGAGGGAAAGTATTTACAAACTTTTATAGCATCTGACTCTAAACCCTGACACAAAAGTATCAGTTTGTGATGGACTGGAAATGGGAAGAGCAGCTCCCTGCCAGAGCCAGTTTGAGCAGCAGGCCTACACTTCTCCTGGCCACCCTCTGCTATTGCCTGGCCCTGACCTCAGCCACCCTGGCTCCCTTCCAGTTCGGCAAACACCCGGAGCAGACTCCCACCTCAGGGCCTTTGCACTGCTGCTGCAGCCCTCCGTCTGGATGCTTGTCCAGACCTTCAACAGCTCACTCCTCCTCTTCCTCCTGTAATCCTTGTTCCAACATCACTTTCTCAAAGAGGTTCCCTCTAACAACTTCCATAACACTGCAGACCACCACACCCACTGCTCATTCTCGGGTGGGCTACTTTGGGTCTTGTTTGCTCTTTCACAAAGCACTCATCACACAACATACTGTATAATGTCTTCTTTCTTCCCATTAGTAGTGGCAGGAGGCTCTGCGCTCAGCATAGTGCCAGGCACACAGTGGGCACTTAATACACGGAAGGAGTGAACACAGGAGCCATAGTGCAGCCAGGGCCACTTCACTGACAGCAAGACCCCAGCACAGACTTGCAGACCTGCACCGTGGAGGGCAGCCAAGAACTCCAGGGGAGGAGCTGTCTGCCATGTCAAAGGCCCTGGGCTGTACCCTCTGGGGACCTCTGGGATCCAGAGGAGTTTTCTGAGACCTGGGGCCTACACATCATTTGTAAAGCTGAAGGGGGGAGAAGAATGGGGAGGCTAACAGCAAGGAGACCAATCAGAAAGCTGGCCTTGAATTGAGGCCATGGAATCAGAGAAGGAGAATAATGGAGGGGTTTCCAAGCCAGATCTACAGATCTATGTGGTGGGAGGGGAGAGGAGGTGCAGGGAGGGTAAGCGGATATGGGATAGAAATGGGAGCCTCCTCCAAATGCCGCCATGGTCACTGTGGGTAAGAGCCGCAGCCAGAGCGCCGGAGCCTCCTCGTGGTGCCCGCTCTCCAACAAAGGGCTGTTCTTGGCTACTGGCCTCCCCTGTCACTGCCCTAAGTCTGCACCTGTGCCCACCAGGCCTCCTTGAGGGGTCTGGGGTCTGCAGTGTGCCTCTCACAAATGTCTCCCTGGAACCCCAGCCAGCATTTCACGAGGCCATTCTGGATGGCTGGCATCCATCGGACATCTCCACTGCTGGATGTCAAGCCAGCGTGTTCAATGCAAACCCACCAATGTGCACATATTAAGCACTGACCTTGCGCTCAACACTTTGTTAGGTGACAAGAAAGAACAGAAAGGAGTCATGGGACACGGTCCTGCCCCTGACAGCCCCACCATGGAGAGAGTATGAAACATGGAGAGGAATGAACACACTAAACAGCTAAAGGATGAAACGTGATGCCATGTAACATTTGTCTGCCCAAAACTCACTTGAGGCACAAGAAATTCTCAAAAAACAAGCAAACAAAACTCATTTTTAGCCTTAATTTCTACCAGAGCTGAAGGAGAAGAGAAAGCCACATGGGCTGTATACCAGATGTGCAGGGAGGCCCCCAAGTGGGAGGAATGGCAGGGGCAAAGGTTCAGTGGTGGAGGAGAGGGTCTGGTGGAACAGGATGTCTGCTCCTAGCCACAGTGGGAGTGTAAGCCCTCAGCAGCCTGATTTTATACGCAAATGTCTCAGGAGGGCCAGGCTGCCAGCAGGAGAGCTGGAAGGCCAGGCAATTACAAAGTTAACCACTAAGACTCAAAGGGACCTTATCAGTTACTGAATGGATAGAGCCTGGGAAAAGCAAAGGGAAGGAGGGGCTCCTAGAGTTCCAGGGAGGACTGGGAGCTGCTGCGAATGGCCCCAAATATCTGGTGAGAGAAACAGACTTGTAACTGGGCACACTTGGCTACTCCTTGAAAACACACCTTGTTTTGATCTTTCACATTCTCTAGTGCAAAGCTGGCCTTCCTTACAAAATCCTGTATAACAGGGGAGGATGGGAGCACAAAGGAAATATCCCAGAGCAAAATAAACTGATCACGCAAATGCCCAAGTCAAACAAGCTGTAATATTAATGAGGCATGAATGAACAGTGCTGTCTCCAGAGCTGAATAAAGGCCGACCACACCTTCCTGGGAGCCACACAAAGGCTCTTTGTGGGCACCCCTTCCAACACCAGCTCTCTTCTCCGCAGCAGGGCCCCACCTGGGACCCAAGGTAGAATAGGTTGAGAGCGTTTTCTTATAGGCAATAGTGAAATCTGTTTTCAGTTTAACCTACAACAGTTGTAGACTCTGACCAGGATATATTATTAATTCATCAAAAGAGAAGCCCCATTTTTAACTACCCATTGAATTAGGTATCTTCAAACACTGTGACCCAGAACTGACAGTACAGCTAACTCTCTGTTCACCACGGTAATGGGAATTTCAGGAAGAACAGCAGTTGAAAGGCAAAAACAATCCCATTCTGCCCTCAGCAAGGCACGTATCACTGCATCAAGGACGATGCCTTCCAAAGACTATCCACCCAGGCCCTTGGGTTTGTCCAACATTGTGAGATGTAAACCACACCTTTCAGGCTCAACAAGCCAAGTGGTCTGGTCCTTCACTTCCTCCCAGGGTCTGGTAGACAGCAGAACCCCCTCCAAATTTTTCGAGGCACAGGGACACAAGAAAAGCACGGAAAACCACCCCATGCCTGACCCAAATAGCAGCTCCCCTATTAGCCTTCAGCAGAACTTCTACCAAGTAATGTGGGAGAGTGTGAGGGGAGTGAGACCAAGGCTTGCGCTCCTAGGACAGAGGAGGGAAGGGGCCCTGGGTGTGCCGAAGGCTGGGCCACAGGGCCCAGAGGATGCAGGGAGAGAGTTGGCTGTACTGACATGACAAGCACACCCCCAGCAAGCTGCCCAGCATTTCTAGGAATGAGAAAAGCAAACCGCTGTCCCACCTCGGGCTGCACAATCACAAGTGAGGCAGGGCTGGGACCAGTCACCATTTGGGTGGGAGGTCAGCCCCACGTGCGACAGGAAGGGGTGACGCTGGCTCAGTGGCTGCAGCTCCTCGCTCTGACCCAGTGGGGCCCCTGGGCGGTGCTGCGGGCACAGGGAGGCCTCGGGTGCTGTGGGGCAGGGACACACACACACACACATACAGAGAGAGACAGGCCGTTAGAGGGGGAGGGAGTGGCCCAGGCCCAACCGATGCTCTGAGAGGTGGTGAACAGCCTGCTGACCCACCACATTCTGACCCTGAACATGAAGCTCAAGCTCAAGGTCTGAGGGCACAGAAATGCCCAAGCTGGGACTGTGGCAGCAGCAGGCAGCCCAGTGCCAGGCTGAGCAACACTTAGGAGGACGCCCAACCCAGACACCCAGGGCTCCTGTACCCCACGCCTCTCCCCTTCACCTGAACATCCCACAAACTATTGAGGAAATAGAAAACTATTTCAGTTCCTCACTTTGTATCCTCTGGCTTCTTAAGAATAGTGACTACAAAAGGCAGGCAGAAAGAGGAGCAGCTCCCAGCGGCCACTGAGCACAACTACCAGCACTCCCCAAAGAGGCAGCCAAGGAGCCCGGAGACCATCTCAGCCCATAGGAGGTCTTTCTGGGGGTGGAAGGAGGCTTCCAGAGAGAAACAAACAACTTCGCTTCCTAAAAGGCCATCTTTATTTCTTATGTGCCCTGTCACTGAAGACGACCTCTGGAGACGAAGGGTGTATTTGTTTCCAGCATTTTCATGAAGGTCATGACTTTTGCTTAAGCAGAGTGCAAACTAAGTCAGGAAACAATGGGACAAGAGAATGCTAACCTCCCTAAGCTTGATAATAACTTATAGGTCCTAGAGGCACAAAGTGTGACTTCACTATGCCAATCTTCTATCTGACACATTTCTCAAAATGCTCCTGGTGACTATACAATGTGAAACTGAAACCGGCAAAAGCAGGAAATGTTGGTAAGTGTTCTGGTAACAGAACCACTGACTAAGCAAGGGTTGACAGGGCTTTGTCAAACTACAAACAACTTCCTTTAAAAAAACGTTTTCTTTTTTGCTGACGTAGGGTTAGTGATTCCAAAAAGAAAGGGTATGGGGACCTACACTTTTATTTTTACAGACAGAAGACACATGTTCGCATACCCTACTACCACCCTGCTCCCCCACAGACCACCAGGGCCCCCTATCTCAACACCACACTGTGAAGGCAGTGGGGCGCCATTCCTGGGAACACTATCAGGGAGCAAATGGAATGCGAATACTGCTCCAAGATTGGCTTCCATTGGGCCTGAACTCCACTTTCTCCACAAAACTCTGCTGAACAAGGGGCCTTGAGTAATCCAACAAGCAAAATGAAAAAACAGAGCAGCCCCAGCAGCACAGACCCAGCCACACAAACCAATCACCAGGAACTCGTTTCCCATGTGGGCAAAGGAGGCCTTGCCCACATGACCCCTGCAGAGGCACTGCCTCCTCCCTCTTCAAGTGGGACAGAGACAGACCATCTCCTATGGCGTGATGCTCAAGCAGACAAAACACGAGCCAGTCAGGAGGCCTGTAGCCTAGTCATTAGAAAAACACTGATATGAGATTAAAGAAACAAGATTATCTGGAAAAAGTGTTTGTCTTCCCCTAGTTACCAAACCCAGTCAAATCCCCACTGGATGTTCGCGAGCAAATCGCTTTCCTCCAGCCCCTCCCTGAGGAGGAAACGGAGAGGTTCGCCTCCACACCAGTCTTCTACCCACAGGCCAGGCCTGCCTAGATTAGTATAGAGTCGACTCAGAGCAGCAGAGGGTCTTGAGATACCCAAGCCAAAGCAGCCAAGGGGCTGAAAGTCCCTTTGCAACAGGTCAAGAGCACTGTTGTCTGGGCTCCCAGAAGCTAAGACGAAGGGCAGACGTGCCATCTCGCTCCACCCAAGAGCACCCACCCACCTGCTGCATCTGCAGCCGGCACGCGCTAGCAAAGGGTGACGAGCACTTCCCCTACTCACAGCCATGATAGGAGGCCGGTGATCCCCCGGCCTTGCCATACTCCTGCTCTGAGTAGGTGGTAGAGAGGTTGGGCTGGCTGGAGCCTCGACCGAAGGTGATCTGGTTGCTGCCCATGCCGGTGGCAACCTGGGCCATGCGCTCTTTGGTTTTGAGGGCCTGGACCCTCTCAGCCTTCAGCCGCTCCTCATCCTTGAGGAGGGCCACCAGCTGCTTTGACTTCTCACGCACATTGATGCCCTGGTCCTTGCCATCACGGTCAACATACTGGAAGTCTTTCAGGGTCTGGACAGCAAAGATGTTCTCTCGGCACTGTTGGGCCACCCGCTCAGAGCCCGTCTTGATGAGGTAGTCCAGCAGTGTCAGTGCCTTATACACATGCCGCCAATTCTTGCCATGGTCATTGAGCCGCTTCCACACCATGCTCATGATCTCTGAGAAGGCTACCACGTTGTAGGTCAGGTCCGCGATCTCGGTCATCAGAGAGCTGGATGGGCCCCATGGGTCATTGGAGGTGGCTTCTCGTACTTTTATTTCAGCTTCTGAGTAATTGTTTACAATGTTTTTCATCTGCCGTCTGATAGACGAAGTTGTCATCTTTCTTTCTTTGTTACAAATGTAAAGCCCTTCAAAAAGAGAGACTTTCCTGTCCTGGGCAAGTTTGTACCCTGCAAAGGTTCAGTCTCTGTAACAGATCTGGAGCAAGATTCCTGACAGTCATTTCCTCTGCTGGAGATGCAGGTCTGAGAAGTTGGAAGCCATGACCTAGAGAGAGAAAGAGAAACACTCACTGGGCCATGAGCACCTCTGAGCCATTTCTGGGAGTGGCAGGCCCTGCGGTAGGAAAGTGCCGTCACTGCACTTACTCTAGCCTTCCTAGGATGAAAGAGATTCCATCTTTCTTTTAAAATTAAGGTCAATATTACAGGTTAATATTGAATAAAATTTAAACTGAAGTTTAAGTCTTTGGAAGAAAAGAAGTAAATATGATGATTTTCTATTTTTGTTCTACTTTCAAAATTCTTCTATTGAAAATGGCTCTTTTATGGGTTCTATTTTCACTGCATGGCTAAAGCCAACTACAGAAGGATCGGTGTCAGGAGAGGCTGGGCCTGACAGGTTTTAAATTACCTCTGGGATTAGAAAGCCCCTAGTTGCATCTGCTCAACTATTTGCCTGTGGCCCACCATGTCAGCTGCCCCCAGACTTCTCTGAGAGCAGCACTTTTCTCCTGACTTTTTATGAAGGTCCCCAAGTGCTTGTCTAGAGCATAGCTGAGGCCTCCCACAGGGTTTTCAGAAGTCTGGAAACCCTTTCAGGCATCTGGCCTGAGCTGTATAATACATCTTGGAAGTTATCTGGTTCTAGCCCAATCCTTTCATTTCCAGAAGAGAAAACTGTGGCTCTGAATTATGCATTAACTGGTGCACCCAGCCCAAGGTCACAAATACAGCTATCCCCTCTTCGGGAAAGAAGCATTTACTGAGCTACAGTGAGACCCTCATCTCTGACAGTGGGCTCTGGTCCACAAGTTTGGTGACCCCCATTAGTCTTTTCTTTTAGTTAAAAGAAATTTATTCATTTTTACAGAGAGGGAAGGGGAGGGGAGGGAGAAAGAGAGAAAGAAACATCAATGTGTCTGAGAAACATTGATTGGTTGCCTATCACAAGCTCCCAACCAGAGACTGGCTCATAACCCAGGCATGTGCCCTGACCGGGAATCAAACCGGTGACCTTTCAGTTCACAGGATGATGCCCAACCCACTGAGCCACACTGGTCAGGGCCCCCATTAGTCTTGCTCATTAGTGAGCACCCAGAACCTAGCACTGTGCCTGACATGACATAAACCTGTTTCAATCAGCTTCTCTTCATGAAACAGATAGAAAACAATGTCCCTTCCCTCAGGATGGCCACTGTCTGGCAGGGGATGGAGTACAGGGGATCTGGGGATACAAAGCCAGAGCAACCAACGCAGCTGGATGTTGGGGCTGCGAAGGCAGGCTTGGACAGGACTTTTGCCAGAAATAACCCTCAGTGTGGTCTTCCAAGCTGAAGACAGTTGAGATGAAAGGGAAGTAGTGACATAGGTTGCTCCTCATTTATAAAGTGAGGAAAAGGCCCAGAAGACTCTAGAGACTTCCAAAGAAGGTGCACACAGCAGGGGTCTGGACACAAAGCCCTTCCTGCCCCAATACCCCATCCCCCACCACCTGTGCTCCTTGGGTTAGGCCGTCTCATTCATGCTCAGGAAACCTTCTGGGCAAAACATTCTTCTTCCCCTGGCACAGATGAGGAAGCTGAGGCCCGGAGCGGACCAGTGCCACCTGACTGGGCCCTCCTCCCTCCTCCTGCAGCAGCCCTTCTCTCGGTCAAGGCGTTGTGTTACTTCTGCCAGAGAAACAGTGACTAGCCCCCACCTTTCTCAAGCACCTCAGACAGACAATGGGCACACTGAAAGAATAGGTCACCTGAAAGATGTTGGGAGCAGGAAAGCCACAGGAAATGCCATCAGTGATCACTCCTCACACGCAGCCTACGAACAGTAAAGACGGCCTGTAACAGTTCATCCAAGTGACAGTCAATACATCTGCTCTGGCCACACTCCAAGGTGACAAAAATTCTGCCTCCAAGAACAGGGCTTCACCTGAAGGCAGGTGTACTCTTCCTCTCCATTACCTGGTCAGGTCTCATAAACCCTATAAAACTTGTCAAAGGACCAGGAATAAAAACTCTCACAGTGATCTGTACACTTGATTTTAATTAGGTTTTTCATTCACAGCAACATTCCCTGTTGGCAGAAGTGGGATGGGCCTTGAAAAGGAAAAAAAAGAACACTTCGGTTTTTAATGAGTGCCTCCTGGATGAAAGCGTAAACACTTGCCAACATCAGTAGTAGCATTTGGATGTGCTTCATGCTCAAGACCCCTGGGCACTTCTGCTCATTATTCCATCTGGTGCCCTGTAGGTAAGACTGTCCCACTTCTTGAGGGGCAGCAGGTGGAGCTGGGATCTACCCCTGAAGAGACCCCTGAGCCACCTTCCTCCAGGAAAGAAAACAGCTTCAACTAAGCATGAGAGTAAACAGTCCTAGGAAAAAGGTCCCAAATGGTTGAAAATATAATTTAAAAAAGTGATTTCCCAAGGGAGAAAGGATGCCGTGGGCTATCTTGCCCCCTCCCTAGTCCTGCGCCCCTTGGAGGCGGACCTGACAATTGAACGTGGTGTCCTCCCCAGGGGACGAGGAAGAGGCTATGAGACCCCACCAGGGCACCCACCGGGCCTCCCAGGCCTTTGGCAGCACAGGAAAGGCTGCAACTCCTGTGAGCAAGGTCCAGGGTGTTGCTACCGACACAGGCACAGGTCAGGAAAGAGCATCACACAGCCATCACACAGCCGAGACACAGGGCTGCAGCCAAGGCGGGTGCTGCCTCCAACAGACTCAGCCTGCAAAGACATCTGCTAGCAGTCTCTCGGAACTGGTTAGGCTTTAAGAAAAGGGAAAATGCTAATATAATATTTGTTATATCAAGGATAAAATATAAAGTCTATACAAGATGAATGGTTGCCTGCCATTTTCTTAAACCTATAAGCAAGAGCCACTTTCAGGAACAACGAATGGTGGGAAGGCTGACGTCTGGAGATAAGAAACTCCTGATCAGAGAAAGCACACTGATGGCACCTTTGGGAAGCTATTTTCAAGGCCACATGGGTCACAGGCTCACCCAAGACTTTGCCAATCAAACTTCCAATTCCACCGTGGGAGACCTGGTGCCGCATGAGCAGGCTACAGGACCACCATGTCCCCCAGCCTGCATCCCCGCTCTCCTAGGCTGCTGCAGAGGCAGAAGTGTACCTCAGTGGCTGGTCCGTGTCCGCCTCAGAGCTTGGTCTTTGCATTTTAAAACACCTCCCCCTCAACCTCAGGCTGGGTAATAAATAAATATCTCCCCTTCCCAAAATCACCAGCCAGGTATACCCTCCCAAAAGCCAGCCCCGAATACACAGCATCCCAAGTACACATACTGTGTTATTTCCAGAATCTGAGTTTTGTTTTGTTTTCACTCTCTTGAATAGTTAGCACGCTCTACTTTCTGAACTTGCCTTCTCAATTTGCCATTTTTCTTCTCTCCAGCTTGCGGAGCCTGAACTAATACACATGGAAAAGCAACTAAAACAGGATAATTGGCACCTTCTGGGCTCTTCACTCAAGCCTGGGGAAACACAGCCGGTTCAGAAACATCCAGTCACTGACTAAGGACCTTCGGGATAGAGATGGGGAGGACAGCAGATAGGGGGACATAGTCAAAACAAGAAAAAAAAACTGTTAAAGTATAGGCTAAAAGAAAAAAAAGTGGAAGGACTAATTTCATAAATTGTACTGACAACTAAAGGAATACCATTAGAACATCAGTAACTAGAAATGCCTTTAGAAATACGTCTTTTCTTAATTTTTAAAAATATGTTTTTTGATTTTAGGGGTGGGGAAAGAAGGAGGGAGGGAGGGGGAAAGACAGAAAAAGACAGAGAGGAACGTCAACTAGTTGCCTCCCATACACGACCTGTCCAAGGACTAACCCACAGCCTAGGCAAGTCCTCACTGGGCATCGAACCTGCAATATTTCAGTGTGAGGGACAATGCTCCAACCAACTGAGCCACACTAGCCAGAGCTAGAAACAGACTTCTATCATCAGGTATTAATTAGAATTATTTTACCATAAGTGGTGAGTGAAGCAAGAAAATTTATATAATTCTGTTCCAACTTTAAATTTTTCAATGGAGACAGCAACATGACTTCAAGCTAGGACTTACTATTCAAGGCGAATAAATATCCGGCACCTGCCAAGGGAGCTGCAACAGGAACCAGAAGACGTCCACTAATTCCCACGGATAAGATGACGAGGGGCTCCCAACTAGTCATAACTCCACAACCCCACCCCACTCCAGCCCTAGTCCAGAAAAGCCTGTTTTGAAAAGTACTGATTAATCCTTTTTTTAAAATTAAGAATCAAAGTTTCTGAAACACATGAGATAACACTGGTTACCACAATGAGTTGATAAAACCCCACCAGCAGCACAGAAACAGAACACACCGGCGGCCTGGGGAGTCCCGCAGTGGGCAGTGCGTGGCCTGCGAGGCCTCCCGACAGCCCTGGGGGCCTCTGGAGATGCCGCAGACGATTCAGTGCGGAGGGGCGTTCACTTTTCTACGTCAGTCCCCAGTGCTAGTGAAGGTTCTTTAAGCCAAAGAATACTTCCTGGAAGTGGAATCTTCTGCCTGGGCACCATTCCTATCCTCTCGTCCTGGAAAGAGCCTTGGTCTCCGGGGGGAGTGGCCAGGAGCAGACCTGGCCCATGCCCAGTCAGCGCACCATGGGCCCCAGAGTGGCTAGATCAGGGGCTGCTGGACAATCCAGACTGGACCACCTGAAGACATCTCTGAATGGGCCCTGAAACTGGGAAACCAGAAGGGTGGCTAAGCTGCTAGAAGCCACCACAGGGCCAGGGTTTACCTAAGTCTAAAGCTGACACAGAAGCAAGCAAGGAGTCAAGAAAAGGAGAAGGAGAAAGACAGACCATCCTCTGAGCCTCAGGGTCCATCTGTGCCTGAAACCACTTACCCCGTGGACTTTCCCAGCTGCACAGGCCAACAAAGTCACTGTGACTAACAGCAACATGTGATTGTGTCATCTGCCACTATGAGCTCTGTGCACTGGGCCCCTGGGAGGAGGGAAGCCACACAACCAAACGCATGGAGCACTGGCGGGCCGCGCCAGGGCCTCCAACAGGCCTGCCGCTAGCGGAAGTGCAGGGACAACAAGGGGCCCTCCTCAGACACGGGAAGCCCTGGCCCCAGGCTGGAGGAGGCCGGTTCCACCTGGGAGGTTAATCGCTCCTCCAAGTGCAGGCACCCGGTCGAAGCTTGGGATTGTTGTTGTTGAAAGTGGTTTGTGATGGTGGACCATCAAATACAGCTGAATAACCACATCTGCAGGGTCAAGCTGGGAAAGAAAAATTCTGGCATATTTGAAAATATGAGAATTCAAAAGATAGTGGAGCCTGAAAATAGACTAAAAAAATAGCAAACATAAGAAAACTAAACAAACAGACCAAAAATTCCAAGGCTAGAGGAAGGCCCCTGGAGATAAGAAGAATTTCATAAAAAAATGTGCTCCAAGGGCTTGCAGAGCTGGTTGGGGAAATTCCTTCCGAAGCTGGAATACCCATTATGGGAGGAAGAAGAGGCTCTCGTGGTTTGGAGCAGCACAGGTGGGTCCCTGGGCAAAGCCCTTGGGGCTCCCTACCACTGTGCTCCTGCGACCGCGAGGCCCATGGCCGATTGTGTGTTGCAGAGATGCTCACCCTATCTGACAGGAGATTCTGGCAGTGGCTTTTCAGGGGTCTGGGGTTGAGACCAGCCATGAAGGAACAGCAATAATTGTGTCGCCCTTCCCCCAAACCTAGCAGTCCCAAGTCGCTCATCATCAGCCGCGCCTGCCGATCCACTCATCCTCAGCAAGCATCACTGAGTGAGCTGAAGGCCAACTCCTTGGCCCAGAGAGCAGTTCAAACTGCTGGTGTGTGACAGCCTCCTGTGACTTCAACATGCTCTTCACTCTTCTCGTTACAGATGCCAGGTACAGCTGAAGAGGAGGGCACAGACACCCTTCCTGTAGCATGGCCTCCACAGCCCACAGGCCACATATGCCATAGTCTCCTGCGGACACCATTCACAACTCCAGACACACAGTAACTGGGGGTAATGCTTAGGAGAGGCAACACTCTTGCCCAGCACTCAGGGTGGTTGGTAGGCTTACTGAGGCAAGTGCCACGTGTCACTCTATGACATATATCAACATTAAGCTTGTGAAGTGCTTTACAAACCTTGATTGGCTGGTTTTACTCTTCCTGTACACACAGTCCATGAGTGAGGAAACATCTCCATCTTCCCATTTGGAAAAGGGGGACCAAGATCATTACAAGGAGGCTGAGCCACAGCTCACAGGACCACACTGAGCTGGCCCTCCAGAAGACTGCGGCCCACTTAGGACAATATGGATAGCTGCCACATTCTTTCTCCACAGTAATCATTTCAGCCTAAAAAGAAAGGTCTATGATGACTCTATATCAGCCTGCTAGCAATAACTTAGAGCTTATAGCTACTATTCATGCAAGCGAGGGAAGTAAAAAGGAAAGAAAAAAATCCTTTGTTTTATACACACCAGAAAAACAGTGAGGGTCTGCCAAAAAAAAAAAAAAAGTCTTCTTCACTAACTGAATGTGGGCATCTAAATTCCAATGACTTCTTGTTGGGTAGAGAATCAAATTTAATATCACTATCCAAAATGTGGGCTTAAAAAAACTGCACACACATTTAAAGAATTTCAAGGAAAACAAACATTTTAGAGTTGACTTGTAGATAACAAAGAAAGTAAATTGTCCCTGCACCCCCTTCTCAGGCAGAAGAGCCCTGAGGGTGTGCCAATCAACCTGCAGGCCGATGGAGCTGTAGAGGGCTGACTGGGCAGCACCCTGTGCTGGACAATGCCACCCTTGACAAAAGGCAGGACATCTTCCTACAAAGAGCCACCTGGGTGGCTTCCTTCAGGATCTGACGGTCAGGGGAACAAGTACAGGAGAGCTCAGACTGGACTTTAGACGCCTCCCATGACTTCACCTGTTCTTAATTTTTCTAAAAGCAGAAATCAACGACTAAAATCACACATAATCAAATTCAATTTTCTTCATCAACATGCTCCAATCATTTAGTTTCTGGGAATAGCAGCCTATGGCTGCAGGCTACACAGGTACTGAAACACCGCCATTTTTAAAGGCCCTATGAAGCAAGCACTGGACTCAAGAGGCCAGGTTCTGACTGTTCCAGCTGCAGTGTGGTCATCGACTGCAGTCTCTGAGCCTCACTACCCCAGCCTAGGAAATGGGAGTGTGATGAGCTACACCTCCACCCACTGATGACTGGGCCAAAGGGGTGCATAATCATGGAGAGAGAATTCTTTAATGCTCCTTCACCTCTCCTCTACTCCTCCAAGCAGTTTTGCAAATGACAAATCAGGGACGGCATTCTTTAAAAACCACACCAAAAAGCAAACTGTGGTGTGACAGAGCACAGAAGAAAGGACACAAGAAATCAAGGGTCTAAGTCCAACACTGTGGCCACTCTGCAGCACGAACCCTGAATTCCCAAGACCCCCTTTCTGACAAATGGCTCACTTCCCTGCCACTTCCACGGTGTCATAGAGAGCCCAAGCTTCCCACCCAGCACCTGCCACAGATAGAGTTCCAACCACAAGTCCAGCAGTGGATGTTTCTCTTCCTGGGGGCTCTGCACCCAGCCAAAAGTTAGGGTTTCCCTTAGGCCTTTGTAAGCGTCCACAGCGGCCCTCAGAACCCTTTCCTCCTCCAAGAATGGCAGCCTGTATGTGAGCCTGGGGCCAGAGAGTCTCCATTTCTAATGCTGTGACTCGG